CAATACCATAGAATTCCACTCTGAAATTTTGAGCATATCCTACCTCCTTGAAATCTTGGTTCCAAAAAAGAAATAGTGTCCTAAGAATTCTGAGCTTCTGATTGGTTATTCATGTCATATAAAGAAGTGTATATAAAGGTGGGGTGCCACTGTATTTGATTTATTACATGAGCAATATCTTAGCAAATAGAAAAGATAAGATCTTATTTTATATTCTAGCTTGTCAGTATCTGTAATTTGAGTTTCTAATTCATACCAAACTATAGACTTAGTATTTTGACTTCACAAACATTTAATTTGAACCAGTGCTGCATTCAACATACCACAGGACACACAAAAATTGAAGTTTATCTGTGTTTTTTTTTTTTTAATATTTACTTTTAAATTAAGAAACTGAGTTATGTATAGTTCTAAAATTTGATACCAACCTTATTGAAATAGTAGTTCAATAAAATTGAAAGGGTTAAACAAATTTGTACATGACAGCATATTATTAAATTTAGAGAGCTATCAAAACAAATTATATATAATCCTAAAAATATAGAATTACATTTGAATTAAAGTAGCTCATATTTCACGGATCTTTATTATTTGTAATTATAAATATGGGTGTCTTCATTTATGGTGTCCATTGTAGCATCAACTGAGAAATTACTGCACTACAGGTAGGTCAAAGTGTGCACATCACAACTTCTTACAGTTAAATTCAAGATGTAATTAAACTACTTAATTATAAATGTAATGCAAATAAACTTGACATCAATATTTAGTTATTATATAAATTTTCATTTAACTTTTAAAGGAAATATTTAAATAAATTCTCAATCTCCCCTTGTATGTGTATCATGATTGTTCCCTCACACTTGCTCATCCTTTATTGTTCATCACATTTCTCTGATGTTCCGAGTTCAACAAAAATTACTCATATTACAAAGGAAGTTTTTATAGCTTTCACTCTTTGTTTACAGAGATGTAAGCTAGAAAGTCAAACTCACTTTTCACATCATTTATGACCAATAGAAAGTAAAATGCAAAAATTAGAAACTTAAGTTAGATAAGATAACAAAAAAAACAACAACAATTTCTCCAAGAAATATGCGCACAGGCTCAGTCCCAGGGACCAACCATGTAACCATTTTGTGCTATAACTTTTAAATTAGTAGGCATATCTTCACAAAATTTTGCAGATTATCAGTAAACATTACAAGGTTTTCGTGCGCAAAACATCAGATTTATTTTAAGTTTTAAAATTTTTTAAGCAACGTTTTTCTCATGCCATTTTTCTTTTGGAATGTTGATTTTAAGATTAAATGTACTTTTCTCGAAATTTTCAAATTTCACATGCAAAATCTTTATAACCTCCAGATAATTATCAAACTTTTTAAAGAAAAAAAATCTATATGTTATCTGTTATTTTCACTATCGGTTCTCTGTAAGGTTTGGTTGATGTGACAGACTTCGTAATCACCCGAAAAAATTAGGAAATAAATATAAATTATAATTTTTTCATTCTAGAATGACTACAAAATTATAACATAAAAACACAAATGTTAAGTCTAAATAGCTTAAATCTCATTACGGTATACATTTA